ACACCTTAGTTCATATAATACTAGGGACACAATCTGTTTAAAGTAACTTTATGTATGTTTATTTCATAGTTTTTATTCTATTTATTCAATAGAAAACCAATTTTATGAAATTTTTTCTTTGTATAACTGATGAAAATGTGATACAGGAAATGTTTGGAATATGCCAGTTTAACTATTTGCCACTAGCCAATATGCCAATACTATGCGAAATAAAAAATGAGCTGTAGTTTCACTATCGATGGTCACAATCCTTAAAGTAAGACATCATTTTAATCGATATAATGTACAGATTCAGAAAAGTAGAGAATTTTTTATATATCGCATACAAAGTTTTGCTTAAGGGTGCTATAAACAGTTTCGTATAAAAAACTAGGGGTAATTCCCCGACTAAAAATAACCATGGAGGGAAATCCCTTTTTATTCATATAATTGGTGAAAAAGTATCATGTTTTTTGTATTTGATTGTAAAAATTAGTTAATTAGCTTTCAATTTAAACAGGTTGAATGATTAAAATAATTTTAAAAATTAGATTAAATATATATGTTTTGAGGGGAGACAACACTGTAAACACCCTGTTTTTTTGGCAGTGAAAATTGAAAACTTATTTGCAGCCACTGTAGCTCTTTTCGAAGCAGGAAACCGTACCCTGAAACAAGATTTTTATTAAAGGCCAGGTAAAAACCTATGAATTTCATACAGTTTTGATTATGGGAAATGTGCCTGTATCATGTTTACATGGGTATGCACATGACCTGATTTCAGGTTTTTTATGCTCAGATTAGGCAACTTTTTCCCCATTTTCTCTGGATAGAACTTTTTTACTATATTAAAAGTACAGTATATTTTTATTTCAATATAAACTAGAGAAAATTCTGATTCCAGTAATATCTAGTTTTATACAAGTATCTTTATTAACCATTCCACCACTATTAAGGGTCACTTAGGCATGGTCCCTTAAAATATGACATCATAGAAAAAAACTGTTGATTGCACCCTTAAAGGGTCAAACATATAATATAGTGAGGTTTTAGCATAGAAATGTGTTAGTGAATGGAGTAAAACAATTCTGAAAAAATATCATATGGCATGCATACATTAATTTAAAAGCACCAGTTTGGTATATTTAATGCAAATATTACAGATTTGTACATAGCAACCAGATATAAGAAAACCAGACTGTGTGCAAATTTTGAAGTTTTTTCATCTTTTTGCGACGTCATAATATTTTTATTCATTCTCTCATATATTTGGAACCAAAAGTTGCACATGAAAAGTGTAGATTTTTTCTACTTTGACCTTTACTACTGATCAGTGTAACATACTGAGTTAAAAAAAAATCAGAAATATTTTATAAAAGAGGGACGAAAGATACCAGAGGGACAGTCAAACTCATAGATCGAAAACAAACTGACAACGCCATGGCCAAAAATAAAAAGACAAACAGACAAATAATAGTACAGATGACACAACATAGAAAACCAAAGACTAAGCAACACGAACCCCACCAAAAACTGGGGGTGATCTCAGGTGCTCCGGAAGGGTAAGCAGATCCTGCTCCACATGTGGCACCCGTCGTGTTGCTTATGTTATTACAAATCCGGTAAATAGTCTAATTCGGTAAGTCACATTCGTGAAAAGGGAGGGTATTGTAGTTACGACATAAGGAACATATCCGATATCATCTGTGAAACGGTTATTCCATAATGGTCAACCAAGTCGTGATGGCGTCCGTAAAATTTACGATGGGATGATTTCAACTTCCCTATTTGGAACTCTTGGTTTAATAGCTTCCGTGTGAGCAGCAATCCTCTATCAAGGAAATCATGATAGGAAACACAAGCCCGGGAATATCGTATCAATTGGGAGATATATACTCCGTATGCAGGCGCTGCTGGAATGTTGCTACATAAAAATGGAAAGTTCACAATTGGGAAGCTGAAATCATCTCTTTTGTCGTAAGTTTTGTTTTCAACCGACCCTCATTGTCAATTTCTAGATGTAAGTCAAGATATGAGGCAGACTTAACTGTATCTGTAGTATCCTTTATCTCTAGTTCGATGGGATAAATTCGTTCAACATAGTCACCAAATTTTGTATTATTTAGTGAGACAACATCATCTATATAGCGGAACGTAGAGTTAAAGGATATTGCTAACTTCTTATCTTTCTTCCTAAGAAGTTCCTGTATGAAGTTAGCCTCATAATATTAAAGAAACAAGTCGGCAAGAAGAGGGGCACAGTTGGTTCCCATTGGAATTCCGACAGTCTGTTGAAAAACACGTCCTCCAAACGTAACAAATATGTTGTCAATCAAGAAATCAAGCATCTTGATAATGTCAGTTTCAGAGAATGTTTTGTTTGAATCAGAGTGATTCTTTACAAAGTAGGATTTATCCCTCCCCAAGACAAGATACTTGTATCTACGTTCGCCATTCTTTTTAATGAAACAAAGTAATACCAACTCTTTCAATTTGTCTTTTAGTTTGGAATGGGGAATACTTGTGTAAAGTGTAGAAAAGTCAAATGTTTTAATACTATTGCAAGGTGAGAGAGTCTTAGATTGTATGTACTCTAAAAGATCTGTTGAATTTTTTAGTATCCACATCTGATTCACGCCACCTCTAGAATAGGCAGTTTCACAATAACTTTGGAGCCCGACTTTGATTGCTGATAAAATAGATGTTAATAATTTAGAAAGAGGTTTCGTGGAGCACTTGAAAGACCCAGCAATATACCGTTGTTTATAAGGACACTTGTGTAGTTTAGGTATCCAATACAGTGATGGAAGATCCAGTTCTTCATCTTTGGTTGAAATTCCAAAGGAACATAGAACAGACCTATGATTATCCAGGATTTCCTCTTTGGTAAGTGTCGTGAGGGTATATGTTGAGTTTCCAAGTGAATTGTCAATACCTAATTCATTTATCAAGCAGTTTATGTAATGATATTTACACACAAAAAAGATGTTGTTTGGGGCTTTATCTGCGGGGACAACAACATATTTGTCATGGAGATAGGACAAGTGTTTTGCAACATTTGGGTCTTAAAAAATGACGTAGCGTGGGTATGGATATGCCCATTTAGTTTCTTAATTCGGATTTGTATCAACGACCTCACAGCCTTAATCCATTCGGAAAGAGTATCTACGTCTTCTTTCTCGCGTTTAGCCCATTGCCTGGCATAATCCTCGACTGAATCCATCAGTATTTTGAAGTTGTATTTCCAATTGATGGATTTAGGCTCACGATATTTCGGACCTTTGGATAATAACGTGGCCAGCCGGATTATATGTGAATTGGGAACTAGTACAGGTGCAATCAGGAGGTTTAGACTTGAAGTCGTCAATGTTGAGATCCTGCAAAACGTGTTTGTAATTGAAAATTTTAGCTGCAATTGGTTTGGTATAGGTATTATTCCTACCAAGTACTTATTAATGCACTATTACTGGAATAGCTATGACAATATGAAAATCTGATGTCTATAGGGGGTTCAGTTTTCCATGGTAGGGGTTCAATTTTCACTGGCGGAGTAAAAATGTTAAAAAAATATTTTCGAACATGTTTTATTCCTACCAAGTAATTATTAATGCATTATTACTATATAACAAAGCTGGAATAGCTATGACAATTTAAAAATCTGAGGTCTATTGGGGTTTCAGTTTTCCATCGTAGATACCCACAGGCACTTGTCTGAAAAAATTTCCTATATACTTTAATATAAAACAAGGTACTCAGCTCGCATTTTTGAAAAATGTCACCCGGTCGCGATCGAACTTCTGTTATATTTCGATTTTTCGGTTTTCATCCACACTCGCAGAAAATGGTTAATTATAATTATCCCTTTGGTATCTTTCCCCTCTCTTATATATATCTCGGTTTCCGATTGGTCAAATTTTATTCAAATTTTATTGCTAAAAATAAATGTTTCTTAGAGTTATCTCATTTTATATGTTAAGTCCAGAGAGAGTCTGAATGACATTGATGGAATGGGAAAATTTTAGTATAAAAATAGAAACTCGTAACTCATTAGACATACATCAAATAACACTTGTTAGATTTTTTTCACGGAATATTTTACAAATTTACTATCTGGATGACAAGTTCTATTCAGACAAAAACTAACAGTTTTTTTGGAAATACTTTTTATAATTAATCATTTACTGCGAGTCTTATATTTCCAATCGGCTGTGGGAAGACGAAATAATTACGGTTGACATACTTGGGGAGGCCTGCTACGAATGATTCCGACAACAAAGGTAGTCGTGTTATACATCATTGTGTAGATAAATCAATTTAGATTTACAGCATAACAAGTTTTAGAGGGGGTAGAAAACCGAGAAATCGAAATATAACGGAAGTTCGCGACCGTGTGACATTTTTTTTTAAAAAATGCGAGTTAAGTACCTTGTGTTAAATTAAGGTATATAGGAAAATGTTTTTCAGAGACAAGTGCCTGTGGGTATAAATAACATATTAAAGTATATAGGGAGAAAAAAAAATTCAGAGGCTGAGGTTTGTTTACACTTTGTTCGTGGCAAAATGTGGCCTACTGCAGTGTAAGTTTGTTTTTATTTTATTTTCAAATTATCGTTTTTATTTTCAATAAATCGTTTTTATTTTCAAAATATCGTTTTTATAAACAAATTCAGTAGAAATTAATTGTTCCATTAGTTTAATGCTTATTAATACATATATCACATTATAATTGAAGCTGAAACAGTTGGGAATGTGAAAATGCGGTCACTGACCTAGAAAAGGCACACACTTAAATTTCTCGCACATGTTATCGATCTTTATATTTACTTAATTTAAGTTAATTACACCATGAAATTGTTTTAATTATAATTTATTTTACGAATTTAGTTTTTGTAGAGTTTATCAGTCATGGGGAAATTATTAAAAATCTTTTTAATGATTATAACACACCCTACCGAAAATTTAAATCTATGGAAAGCAGTTCGCGTCATATTTTTCATGATTGTATTTTGAATGAATGAACGAACGAATGAATACTTTATTGCAGAAAGCATTAACTATGCTATAGCAACGAATACATATTTACAATACGACAAATGATAAACAGCAGAGAGCAATACATAAAATACATAATGAGAAAAACAAGCAACATTAAGTAACAATATGTGATCTGATTGACCATGCAGATTTTATGTAATTACACAATTTCTTTATAAGTGAAACAGACGTAAATTTAAATAAATACTGTAATTTAGTAGTGTTTGGCCAAGAACAATAAAATATTGGCAAAAATTTAGGCCTAATTGATCTATAGATCTATTTATTGATCTAATAAAAAGGGGGTACTAGTATTCGTTCTCAATACACTGCATATTACAACATTTGCATAATCGCAATTCTCTAGCCATGTCAGTATATCTTCCTGTTTCAATGTTCAGCTTTAGTGTACCACTACGCAATTTAGTTAAAAAGTATGAATTATAACAGTAATCTAAATAATCTTCAAATCTAAATTCTAACTTTATATTCTTATATATACTAAGTTGTTCACTCCTTTCTACAGATGCTAACCAGCTTTGTATATACTGATCTTTAATCCTATTCTTAATTACATCAATAGATTTGATTATATTTGTTTCTGACTGTTGATACCATATATAATTTAGACCATTATCAATAATAAATCACGTAAATTAGAAGCCCAATTTGTTTTGCCATTATTGGCATCTTCTAGTAATAATTTATAAACATCATATACAATTGGTGTTTTGTTAGTTAAAATATTCAACCAGTATTTAATAATTCTAAATTTTCTAGGGATGTCAACGAGTACTCGAGTATCGCTCGGTAGTACCGAGTATCGAATACCAAAATGGTACTCGACTAATCGGTTTCCTGTTAGATTGTTGTTGCACTCTTAAAGAATTGATATTTTTATTTAGAGCGCCTCCCTGGAAATTAAATATTAATCAAAATTAATTAAAATTAAAGTACGTTTCGAATGTTCGCGTTTAATTGTCATTTAAAATTCCTCCGAACATAGGTAAGGTATGAACAAGAGCACCTTTCCAAGGCTTACACTTTTAGCTAATCATGTCTTAGTAATTCCACCTCCGTACCTTCAGGGCAAATATTTTCATCAGCAGGACTGTTAGTTACGTAACAAAGTTGAGAAATCGACTCGTCAAAGAAAAAGTTGACAAGATTATTTTCTAAATAAGAACAAATTCCGAGGTTGCACCCTGTGTCGACCCTCAGAACTGATTAAAGGCATTAGTAAGTTCTAATTGATCATTAAATGTGTTTTTTTTACAATTCCCAAATACTATTGTTTGAGTAATCCTTTTTCTATAGATGTTTATTACTTAATTAATTGATTAGATTATTGCCATTTTACATGAATAGTACATGTAGTAAATCAGAACTTCAGAACATATTAACACTCTAGACAGTTTACACTGTAACAAGAGGCAGATAAATGATACAAATAATATTTTACAATGGTGAACAAGATAGAAAAAAATATACATACATAGTTCATTTACCTAATTCTCTGTACACAAGTATACACATAAATAACACGTGAAAAACATTCAGAGCTATAATTATGGGATTTAAGATCGCCAGTCGAATAAATGTAAGTGATGATAATATACTCATAATCATAGATATTTCATAAGTTTTTTTTATAAAAATTGACAATTTATTCAAGACTTTTTCATTACATAAAGACATCAAACCTTAAAAAAAAAGTTTCATTTTATATTCTGAAGGGTTAACAATATAGTAATTTGGGATATATGCACGTCTTAATTTTGTAACCTCGTCATTGCGACATACAAATAAGTAATGAAACTGATTTCCAATACAATTATTTTTGTAATGTTATGCCATCGACCAGTTTCTAATGGAATTTTGATATTTGAACATCTAAGTTTGGTTATATATATTCTATTTTCTCTTTTCAATCTTAATAAGTAATTTTCTAAGCAAAAATCGTTTAAACAGTAAATAATATCCACCTCTTCCGGAGTTTTCAGCATCACTAAACCACTTTTGAATAAACTGGTCATGTAAAATTTGCTTTACATATATTTTGATGTCAACATTTCTAAAAATACATTGATTGTTCCATACATAGCTCAAACCTGTGTTTTCTAATGTAGATTTTATACAATTAATCCACTTAGAAACAATATTTCCAGAATTAGGCATGTTATACAAAAATTGGTATAACAATCCTGATAATTTTGTGCTGTTTAATAATAATTTTGACTTTATTTACCAAGGGATATCTGCCAGTTTCACCGTACACCATATAATTTGGAGTACCCAGTGCCCGTATGCATAAAACATCTTAACTTAAGTGTTCCTTAAACTTAGATTTCACTAAGAATTTCCTAAGTTAAGTAAAAATCTTAAGTCGTATGCATAACATTACTTAAGTCTTCACTTAACTAAGGAATACTTAAATCGGAACCTTTCTCTAATCACCGTATGATATACACTGTAAATAAAAGTGTTAAGAATCTGAACACTTTTTGAACGCCTTTTTGTAACACTTCTGGAACGCGTAACAGTGTTCTAAATATTAACATTGGTGTTCCAGTTTTTAACATCATGTGTGCATATTTCGAACGCTGTGTGTGTTATTCTTGAACGGATAGTGTGTACTCCTTGAACGCCTAGTGTTTGAATCTCGAACGCGTAACAGTGTTCTAAATATTAACATTGGTGTTCCAGTTTTTAACATCATGTGTGCATCATTCGAACGCTATGTGTGTTATTCTTGAACGGAGTGTGTACTCATTGAACGCCTAGTGTTTGAATCTGGAACATGTCCTTGTGAGCAAAATTGTACGCCGTTACGGGTTCCAAGCCTTGTTACACTTCTGGAACACTCGGACTGTGTTCCAGATATATGTGTTAATATCCAGAACACATAGTGTATACTACTGGAACACAATTTACATGTTCCAGAAAAAAGTGTTCCATTCTCTGAAACATTATTGTGGTCTTGTAAAAATAATAATTTAATTGATTAAAAATATCTTTAATTGATTAAAAGAGGTAAAATTAAAAAAAATACAAAAATGTGAAATATTGAAGCAACTTTAAAATGACAAGTTAGACAAGTTAGAAATATAACATTTGACAACGTAAAATTACACTATAATTTAATTGGCAAAATGTGTCCAAATATTTAATCAGACAAAATTTTCGTCACATTCAAAATTATTATGTTACAACAAAGTCTAGTGGCTTATGAACACAGTTTAACTCATCGTTTGCAACTTCTTAAGTCAAGCACTGTCCTGAATTTCTTTCCAAAAAAAAAACTGATGTCAATGGCTCGTTTATCACCAATATTTCCATGATCCACAGCCTGCATAGCACTCAGATAGTCAATATCAAACATAAAATACCCTGTATATATGCTGCTAGTAGTCGATGTGTTCATGTAACACTGCTACCTTGGGTATTTTTAAACATGATTTGAGTCATCTACAACTGTTTTTGAGCTTCCATTTTTAAGAGGATTCGTCTCCTTTGGTTATAACTATTCTTTAACCTTGTTATCCATCAACCGTAAGTTCTGAAATGTCAAATATAAAGTGTATGAGTAAACAAAATATTGATCATGTCGATATTCCTTAAGAATTAGAAACTCTTGTTTCGTTTTTGCAATTCCATTATATTTGTCAGCATTATTAGAATTTTTTGCAATATTTGATAAGATGCATTTGCTAAAGAGTGGTTTACATGTATTTTCAAGTATAGGGGCTCTCGCGTTCTATAGCTTTTTGAAAAAAGATGATAGGAAGTGTACAGCAAATGGTCATAGGTGTTTTAGGCAAAACTTTGTCTTTAGACTTGTCACTAAATTAACTGCTAACATTTCAAGAAACTAATGACTATTTGCCTGTTTTCAAAGAATATGTAGGAATTTCACTTATGATCTGTATACGGATAATTCCAATTTAAATTATGTAATTATATTGGATTTAACTAAATTAATTTTCTGATTCATGTACACAAGTGAATGGTGCACATTTTATTGATAAATCTGCATTAACACAACTTCAAAAAATGTAAGAAGTCAATGGGCACTCCTAAAATTCTTAAACTTACATAAAGTACTTTTATGCTGCAGGATAAGTCGTCATCTCTGGAACTGCGAAATTTTCTCTTCATTCTCGAGGTATGCACGAACAATTACCCCTAAGTACTGTAGTTGTGTTTGTACCCTATAAAAGTAACATAGGAATACATTACAATACATGTATGAAGTGCACAACGGTGGACATTTGCTAAAATGAATTACTAAAAATTAAGTATTTAAGAATGAGAAAGCTATGAAAAACAGATACATTAGAAATTTGAAATTAGTGTGTTGCAGTATGCCTTTTTACAAACCTCTGTCTTGACATTGCAATGCCATGACAGTTTTTGTATATGTGAACTAATCCTTATGCATTGTTTTTATTTTATTAACAAATGTACATCCTCAAAAGTGTGGATAATCGCGTGATCTTCTTGTTGCTTTCTATACATAATGTTTGGAACACATGGCGTTCAGGGAAAACGATTAATTGGAACGCATCATGTTCGAGACCAGAACACATTTACAATAGCAACGATATCATTAGCATTTACGTATAAATTTACATGGGTTAAAAATGAAAAAAAAATTATCATTTAAATGTATTCTCTCAAAGAACCTCCTATTTTTTTAATCGAATTATGGCATAACAGCACAGTTATGTGTTCAAACAAAATGTTCTACTTCCATTTATACTTCGGTGTGGCCTGTCAAAGTAGAAATTTGTTGATTAAATACTAAAAAAATAAATTTTAAGTTCGTAATTTGTTCAAGTTATAAATATAGATATACATACCTATTAAATCATGTTTTGTTAATTTTCTTCAGTGAAGCTTCTTCAATCGCGATCAAAAACCAAACTTCCGGTACATTAATACGTCACGCGCTGTTATGTACGCGGACATGTTTGGAACACATGGCGTTCGGGGAAAATGGTAAATTTGAACGCATCGTGTTCGACACCAGAACGCTTTTACAATAGCAACGCTTGCATGAGCACTTACGTATCTACATTGGTTAAAAAATATACCCAAAGAACTTAAGTCGTTTAGAAAAAAGATGTATATTAAAAATCAATCATTTGCACGCTTATAAATACGCTCTTGTAACATGCTTTAATTTTTTTTTACCAAACTGATAATTTGCTTATGGTGATACAGCTAAAATACATTTATCGTCAAATTATAATACGAATCACCCTTATTCATCGTCTGTTTGACTCTGAAGCGATGAAATAATTTTTCACTCCCGATTACAATATTAGAACACTAAAGTGTTCAATTTAGAACACTGGTCGTGAACATATGCGTTAAAAGACTGAACACAATGTGTTATATTCTTTAACGCTGGCGTTCAATGTGGAACACTAATGTTAACAACCGAACATATTGTGTTAAAAATTGGAACGCGTCCGGACGCGTCAGGCGTCCTCAATATTTACAGTGTATGTTAGCTCATCGCATGTACTCATCCGTGTAAAAGTTTGCTTTGATTGTTTACATTGATTGAATAATACATAATTGTTTAAAGAACTGATGTTAAATTGATGTTGGAATGTAAAACAAACAACAAATTCGTAACCAACTAAAATAACCAAACAAATTGATGCATAAGAGAAAAGGTTGTTTTGGTGGGCGAGCGTAGGAAGTAAAACATATTTATAATGCAAAACTTCCCCCTACTGTTACTAAAGGAGAAATGAAAGGGGGGTGGAAGGAAATTGATTGACTTATCGATGTTTGCTTAAAGTCCAGTGGCAAATATGTCATGCATGTTCAAGCCGAGAACAAATTAACAATAGATAAAATAAGTGGATCTTGTTATAGACGCTTTCTGGGATGAAGGTCAAGAAAATTTGGACTACCATTGGAAAATGAAGGTATATTGGATAGGAGCATAATTCTCCCTTGCAACAGCTCACCTACGGACCCCAAAGAGTTGTTGTAGGTGTTCTTGACGGTCAGAGTGTGTGGCACTCTCTCTACACGAAGCATAGGATTTAACTCCCTAGTCTGACCGGACGTGGTTGCGTACTTGTACATCCCGCACAGCCAAACGAACGTCCCGTTTTGGCAAGAGTTTTACTGTTGGTAGGAAATAGACCAAATACCGTACTTTTGGTCGCCACTCACCCTTAGGGATGAAAAAAAACCCAAATAAATATATAACAATATAATAAGTAGAACAAAATCCATCAGGAGAGATTCTTAAGAGATGCAAAAGAAGTGGGACAACTTATACATGGCGTGATAAATGTAAATTATCAAAAGATTCCGAGTTATCCACTTGCAATTTATTCTTTTTAGCAAACAAAACTCCAATCACCCGAGGAGTCGCTGAATGGAAACTCAACATTATCTTGTAGCAAATCATCCAGCCTAATAATGGTGTATGCTAGTAAAATCTTAATGAAAAAATAAATCCACGTCATCATATTTATAAAACAGATTTGTTCTATCTCTGAGCCACCGACCATTCATCTTTCATGGGTGATGCTGGATGGAATTGCAATATGTTTATTTTCTAGAGACAACAATATATTTTTTAACTCTAACAATACATGATAAATTTTTTTTTTAATTTAGATTTAAAATAAACTTTTTTATCACTCCCTTTTACAACAATAAAAAAAGGGGTATGATCATTTTCCATAAATTCATCTCAAAACAGGAGTATTTTTCAAAAGTCCTTCAATGTTTTACTAAAACACACATTATTAGATTCATATGTATACTGTAAGGTATTATCAACATCTTTGCGTATTTTCGAATATTTCGCTTGACAGTTATCATGACGAAAGATGACTCAAAACTGCATGCATTCATGGTAGGTTTTAGAAAAAATTGAGCAATTATCCAAAACTGGCGAGAAGGACCTTATTATTTTATTGGAAGTTATAACATAAACTTCTTTCAGATACACCATAATTTATTTAGATTAAAGTCTTCCCGTCTATGCAAATTTGCAATATTTTTGTTAACAGCAATATATCACTAAATATATCAGGACATACAAAAAAATATTGAATACGGGTTAAGTATCATGAATATATCATATATATATATATATATAGACTTCGAATTCCACGGAGTAGGTCTTTAAAAGTTTTGATTTTTCCCAGTTAGTGAAACAAATTCAGGGGAAATTTGCCTTTTATACGTAGAAAAAACAATATAATTGAAAATTAAACCCATGTCCCCCTCCTCCCCAAGAAAACATGATTTTGCATGCCTATAGATCCTCATCGCTTCCTTCCTTCATACAGTTTTGTACTAACAGTTATAATCAATACCAGGCGGTGTATTTCATAATACTTGTGTAAGCAGGCACGAACAAATCAAAAGAAATATAATTGCATGAATTGCATGCGTGTAAAAACTGTGAGTACTTTTCGGAATACACACTAACGAGATTGGGAAATAAGGGTAGAATGAAATTATAAAACTACCCTCTGTTATCTCTTGATTTTGTTGATTATAAGTGATTTTACGAAAGTTACAATGATTGTTAATATTTAGCAATAAACATACGAAATATTACTGAATATAATTATTATTCAATTAAATGGGAGCTAATCTATCCATGTTCTGCGAAACACGCATACATTCGACTGATTTTATATATTTTAGAAAAGTTAAGGTAGCTCTATAGGTACCTAATACTTAAGTATACTCTTAGGAGTTTTCTTAGTATAAGGGGTTTTATGCATACCACTTAAGTTTTGTGGGCGTGACTTAAACCAACTAAGATTTTACTAAGGAAATACTTAGTTTAATATTTTTTTGCATACCACTTAGGTAAAAAGGGCGGAGTTTCCTTAACTTAAGTGTTTAGGTGTAATACCACCATTGATTTTCCCCTATTAGTCTTTGTTAAATTTGCACTTTTCAAAAAATTGTGCAGAATTTATCTTTGTTTCAAATAAAGAAATACTTGGCATGAGTAAAGTTTGATCCTGTCCAGTACTATAGAAAAAATTTCACATAACATTTCATTGCATATAAGAAAATAACCATCACTGGAAGTTAACCAATCAAATTTTCCCCCTTTTTTAACCTGTATACAAGCTTTAGTAACCATGTAACCTCAAGTTTCCAAAATATTCTATAGAAACCCCAAATAAAAAAATAATGGTGCTTTGAAATACCCAAGATATATGTTTATGACCCAGAAATGTTTTACTGCAATGAAATGTAGGATCAATTACCTACAACTGTCAAATTCAAGGGAATATTTTTTTTCGACCTATTTTCGTATGCAACCGGATGTGACGTACTATGATTTGGTGGTATTACACCTAAAGAAGACTTTTTTGTTAAATAAACTGAATGTGACTTTTTTCCTTTGTTATACTGGTTATTTCAAGCATTCCTGTCAAGTTTTGTCATAATCAGTTCAATAGTTTGAGAAAAATCTAGTATAATGTAAGATGACATCTGCAGCGATTCGAGCTAAATTTCTTCGAAAAATCCAAACCAAGCCACATCATGATAGAATATAGTGTGGACCAATAAATGATCAAATATTTATCTCATCTGCCTACAAACAGTTGAATATGATACAAAAGATGACTTTAGGATGATAAATACTACCAATGGACCTCTTTGTCTTCCTTATAAGGTCTCTTCTGGTCCATTTATACCTCTCATTTCCTCAAAATTTCTACTTTATAGGCCAATAAATAAAAATTTTGGGGTAACTTTCACTCATTTATGATAGAAATGTTATAATAAATGATTAATTGAAGTATTCAAGCTGAATGAACTATCCGTATAAAAGTTTACTGTCTCCAAGGAGGTTTCAATAAGTCCTTACGTAAAACTTAAATTTACGCCGCGTTCCAGAGAGGGACATAAAAAGCTTCTCTTTTGGTGAATAATTTGTTGTTACTGCTTTAAAAATAATTTCATTTACTTAAAACTATATATTTATTAAAGTATTTCTTAGGAAAATTTTTTCTAGTATAGCAGAATATAAGAAAAAAGGAGAAAAAGCTCCCCAAAACTCAAAGTATGGCTTATTCTGTCAACTAATATTCATGGTAAAGTCCTATTTCAAGGAAATTTTCTCATAAAATGTGTTTTGGAGACTCAATCCACTCAGAATATTTCATTATTAGTAATATTTCACTTAAATAGCAAGAAATTTTAACACATGAGAGTACTCACAAGGTCAAAGGTGCATGTACAGCTTCCTATATTAGGTGTAATACCACCATTGATTTTCCCCTATTAGTCTTTGTTAAAT